ATCCAAGCAATTCAATTCATACTTTTGATCCTTCAACATTACTTCCAAGCAATTCTTCAAGAAATCAATATTTGCTTGAGTTTTGAAGAGTACTAGTGTGCCATACTCTATAAGTTCTTGTATTCTACAGCAATCCACTCTTAATTTGAAGAGTATTTCCGCTGTGCACTTTGTTTTGAAACAGTGTGTGAATTGTGAAAACTTGAAGTTGATATAATTCAAGTTTTGGAGAAAAATCCTGAGTCTTGTGAAATCAAGACTTCGGTGGAAAGGTTAGAGGCTTGCGAATTCAAGTTCTCGAGTTGTAATCGGATTGTCAAACTCCGTTAAGTGTGACGAAGTTAGTGGAATCTCGGGCACGTTTGCTTCGGGGACTGGATGTAGGCATTAGGCCGAACCAGGATACATTGTGTGTTGCTCCTTCACTTCATCTTTGTGTTCTTGTGGTTGATATACTCCTGCGAATTTTTGTTCTTCCAAAAGTTCTTGATTTTTGAAGAACACCTCTATTCACCCCCCCTCTAGAGGTGCGTAAGTTGTTCAACATATCAGATAGAGCATTTGGAGACCAGAACCTCATAGGTACATTCCAAAGCTTAACCCAGACAGGCATGGTTGAGAAAGACTTTACATCCCACATAAAATCATCGGGAGGGATGTTAATAAGAAGCTTCTTATTGTTGATTTCCTTCTTGGCCTGTATGAAAGTAGAATCTCTATCTTCAATAGAAAGAAATTTGAAGACAACCCATCCTTGATGATGAGGCAGGAACTGGCACTTAACTCCCAAGCTGTCAACCAGTTTTTGAATTGCTCCCAACCCAGGGAATCTGCCAGTGAAGCAGCCCACCAGACAAGGTCCCTAAATCTCTTCCACAGTCAGCATATCTTCTTCAGGTATAAAGCATTTAGGAGTCACAACCTTGTGAAGTTTCATTCGTTTATTTTCAGCTCTGTTTTTCTTAAAAAAGGAGGCAAAAGATTTCTTTCCATCAACCATCTTATCCACTTTATCTTCATTCAGTTTATCTCCACTTTTGTCAGCATCAGGAGGAGCTCTTTCCTTCTCTTTCTCCTCAATGTTGTTGGGTTTTTCCAATGGTGTATCAGAAACATTGTCAGGGGTATCTCCTTGTTCAGAGGTTGTTCTTTGGCAATAGCATTATCAACATCATCAGTTAGGATGGCTTCCAGGTTCTGCTCCAGTGAGATTTGGAGAGCCCTAGCAACTTCCTCTTCATCAATTGAGGTACCAATAGAGGACTGAGCTGAAGGTTCACCCTTTTCCTCATCAGACAACTCCTCCCCAACATCCACAGTGTTCACAACGTCAAGTTCATCATCTACTACAAGTTTGGTGCTCTTCTTCTTCTTCCTCGTCGTAGTAGTAGGAGGAGAATGTGCAGGGGTCTTCGTCGTCTTCTTAGGCTTCTTCCCCATAGCAAAAGACAAAGAGAGACAAGCCACACTTACCTGGAATTCATGGAAGAAGAGTGCGTAGAAGATGAACAGTAGATATCCAACCGTAGCTTTCGTTGACTTCAAGAGATGACGGAAACCAGGGATTCCACCATTGGAGAAGCTCGCCAGACCAAGGAGATGAAGAATCTGAAATCAATCAGGAGTTATACCAACACGATCGCCTCAGTGCGAGACTTGTCCGAACATTATTGAGAGCTCTTTCAAGGGTAACATGTAAATTATTATTACCCAAATCAGATAAGGTACATCAATGTTATATGCTTAACCATCAACATGGTTACACGCATATTAAGACATCGTATCTACAAGAGAATTACAACACAATACATCAAACAACATTACAAACAAGGCCTAATTAGTCCCTTCGAAGAGGTTAACAGCTATTCTACAACACAGGGAGGCCAAAAAACCGTCAAAAATAAATAGCAGAATGTTTGCAACTGCTCCATTGTAGCCACAGCAACAAACAACAGGTATGCCCAAGTCCCTTCGAAGAGTGTAACAGCTCTTCTACAACACAGGGAAGCCCAAAACAGGAAGAGTCATAGCATATCACCAAACAACCATTGCAGACAAGTGCACAAATATCCCTTCAAAGAGTATAAACTCTTCTACAACACAGGGGTAGCCAAATCATCAACAGCAGGGTCGAAGCCATATCTTCTGCAGAAAGTAGACAGGTTCCAATTGCAGTGGAGAGTGTTAGAATAAGTGCCCTTCACTAGAGGGGGGGTGAATAGTGAGGCACGAGAATGTTTATAAATTTTCGCAGAATAAAAATCGCAGGGATAAAGTAAAGAGCGGAATAAAAAGGAGTAAAGGGAGCACACCAAGATTTACCCTGGTTTACCACAACTTGTGGCTAATCCAGCCTCCCGAGAGACTCTCTCGAGCTACACTACTTCCGTTAAGCTTACGGGTGCTTAACAAACCTTTACAACCTGAGAACTCGAGTCCCACGAGCCTCAATACACTTGCTCGGAGATACCGCACTCCAAGACTTCAACCCGAAGGAAAATACCTTTCCTTCGTACAACCAAGGCAAACAAGCTTCCCTAAACGTGTTTACAACACTAAGAACACTCAAGAACAAGACTCTCTTTAAGAGTAGATGTTGAGTAAACTATATACGCTCAAGAACAACTCAAACTTCACAAATTGGCTCTAGAAAGCTATGGAAAATAATGTTGTTTGGATGCAATGATAATATGAATAAAGTGAAGTGAATTGATG